GAAAAACTATGTTGCGCTCGCTAAGACTTTCAGAGTAAAACTGTGCATCAAGATTTTTTTCTAAAGTTGCCGATATTTACCTCTTTTCTTCGGCTTTGACTTACGTGTCACACTGATATACGAATTTTCAGTGGAAGTTGTGTCAGCTCCTTAAAGATAAACAGAACTCCTATGGTTTTTATATTAAGCTTGGAGTGAACGATTTCATTTATCACCATCGCCTTGAAAATGTCGAGTCTTCTTTTTGGTGATTTACTAGCTCCTTCAATTAGCACTACATTCATTGAGTGTTCGATGGATTCCATAAAGCTGAGCATACATTGCTTTATCAACCACGCTCAGAAGAGTTGTAGGAAACCGACGTTCTCTGTATTTTGCGGTGACGAATTATCCGTTTTGACCCGTAATTTAGGACTCCTTGATCTTGCCTCTCTTTTCAATTCGAATAATGTGGTGGCAGTCTTTAGAGCGATTCCCTTAGACTGCGTATTTAGCACATCCGGTCCTTCCTAGGTGATTCTCTAGTACGAAATTATTGGAAGGACATAACTGTGCCACGTGCGCTTATCATCACGAGGCTGATCAAAGCAGATGCCGTTGGTAGAGCGTGGTGAACCATGCTTGGTCGGTGATTTCGTACACTAGGAATATAACCGTTCGGAAAGGCACTTGACTAGCGAGCCTTCAAGTTAGTATCAGTCACCCATCAGTGGCATGTTTTGTGTAGCGCAATTATAGTGGCGGATGCAGAACGTGGAGCCAGTTCCCGACCGGTCAACTATTCAAGCCGATAGGACTCGCGAATGCGAACGTGAAAGACCCGCGCACGGGAAAGAAAGGAGACTGCTTCGTTCAGAAGGTTCAAGGGCAGAGCCGTCAAAGTCGCCCCAGTTTAACGAAAAAAAGGAAAGCTTAACCAGAAGCGCGTCTTGCAAGAATCACGTGAAGCGCGGTCGCCTGAGTTTAAGTCATTGTTGGCTTGCACGTGTGCCGTTGAGAATGAAGGCTAACCATGGTTGCAACACGGAGACGAGTTTATCCTCTCGCGCTATAGGTCATTGCCGAATATTGTTATGATGGCGGAGCGCCTCGTTGTCGCGTGCTTACCTGGTCAGCGCACAGGGCCTGACGGTGTCCGGCCAACTGCACCAGTTGATTTCTTCCTCCTCGACTAGCTTATACAGTAGCTAAGGAGCGAAGCTGTTTAAGGTTCGGAATGGGCGCCCCTCAATGACCCAAATACACTGTGGCAGCACGATGGAAGAGCCGTATTTCAGTGAAGAGTCGCTTTAGCGTAGCACTCAGGCGACTTCTGCTCACGTGCAAGCCCAAACCTCCGCTTCCCATTTCACGTTCAAACACGCTCCTTTCAACCGTTGGTTGAACAAAGGGTATCCACACAAGACAATCACACGTGTAGGCTTGCATCGCCACAACCAATCAAAACATCACTTTCATAACAGGCACTGCATTTTTAAAAACCACGTGGCGAAATATAACATGAGTGGGGATAGCTTCTAAGCGTGTCAGACTCTCTCCAATGTCAAGCCGTGCAGGCCTCCGTCGACTGACTTCCGTTCGTTACCGTTCTCACGCACGAGCTCCGTCATCTCTCTCATTAAACGTTGCTTCGGAGAAGCCTTCTTAATACGCGGTGGGTACACCGCGGGCACTGTGCGTTCACCAGGTGTGCATGCAACAGTGAGGCGCCCCGTCATTTTAACAACACATGGTAATGATGTATAGTGGGGGAGCATAAGCTCGTCTCTGTGCCGCAACAATCGTCAGCTAAGTGGTAGCGTCCCTGCGGCATTCTCAACGGCACACGTGCAGGCCAACAACTCGAGACGATGGCTTGACGTGATTCTTGCAAGACGCGCTTCCGATGAAGCTTTCCTACTTTTCGTTCTAAACTGGGGCGAATCGGACGGCTCTGCCCGTGAACTGTGTGTGCGAAGGAGTCTCCTTTCATTCCCGTGCGCCCATTTTCGGCGTTCGCTTTTGCGGAGGCAATCGGCTTCATTAGTTGACGGGTCGGGAACTGACTTCGCGCTCTCCATTAGCCGCATTGTTTACGCTACACACAACGTGCCACTAATGGATGCACCATACTAACTCTCCACCTCCACGTCTACGCAATAAAGTAGCTCCTGTACTACTTTTCAGATGAAGGCGTCTAGACACTCGTTTTGCAGCGTTGTTTTGAAGCATTTCACCTATACGTGAAGACCTCGACGAGCATGGTTGCATAGGATAGTTCCGAGCAACCGAGTGCAATAAATCCTCCAATTTTCATGTGAACAGAGTCCAACAGGTATAGCAACGAAGCAACGTCACTGGATGAATTTGTTACTTGTTCGTTTCAAAGTTCGCCAAGAATAGCTGTTCGATTGTGTTCTTGTTCCCACATAAGAATATGTTTCTTAGAAAAGGGCTGGCATGTTTGTAGGGCCCCTTCGTTGCTTGAATGCTATTGATGGCCTTCGGTGCCTGTCCAGTTACATGGTTCTTCAAAATAGTGGAACGATTCGATGTTCATCAGCATCAGGTGTTTATGAAGGCTGTCCTTGAAAGTTGAACATGCCCCAGAAAGCTTGCCGTAGCGTCGGGCTTCCATTCAAAGGAGCATCTCAAGTTTATGAAGAAGAGAGCCGATGAGCCCGTATTTTATCTGACAGCCAAAGACATCGCTTTCCCCTGTGGCAGTACCAGCAGCGTTGTAGTCATACTCTGCTACGGAGGCACAATCTTCTTCAAATTATTCATTGGTGAAGTGCGTTTCAAGCTGCATCCGCCGGTCATCGTTGCACGCCTCTATACTTCGAGATCCACACGAAGATCCGACGACGTAAAATAGTTTGTGTCGATGAGTTGCCATGCTTCATTTTGTAGGCACGTGTCCAGACCTTGCTAAGTATTTTTTTTTTTGCTTTCCTTGGATGCCTTCTATCTTCGTTGCGGGTGAAGTCCTTTTGCGGGGTTGCTTGGATTGCGTAGCGCAAAGCTTCAGGCGCCATGAAATGTTGAATAAAGTTGTCTTTGCCGGCAGTATGGAGCAAAACTAAGGTTAGGTAACTGAAAAAATTTACAGAACCTGGTCATTTTAGCAAGATGTAGCGAACTTTCGGCTCCTACCCACCCCGTGGAATTCGCAAGTGTCGTGTAGTTGCATTTGGGCGCACAGTTGCATTTCTTTTTTCTTTCTTTTCCAGCGCGACCTTTCTTTGTTCTTGTTCCCCTAGTAACTGTAGTACATACCCACTTTAAAAAATCGGCCAATAATTGAGTGGTTCCATCACATTATTAAATTTTAGAATACTGTGGTTTATATAATCAAAAATTGCAGATTGCTTAGACAATTTTTGTACTTGTCTAATGTGCATATCTAATAAAAACTTTCATCTCCTGCCCACACTCTTTTGTCTTCTTTCTCGATGAAATAATTGAGAATATTAAACAAAGCTGACACAAAAGACAAGGGACGACAGAGTGCTTTCGCCGAATAAATTCTTCTGTTGGCCATGCATTTTTGAGCAATCCTACGACAGTGTAAATAACCAATTTGTCCAGTCATTAACACAGCAGGCTGTATGTTCGCCGTAGAACACTTGCGCAATAATCTGCTTGGAGACACGCGCATCTTTGTCTCCTTCCGTTGTTCTTAGGTGGCCGTATGATACCACTTCCTAAAAAAGCTACGTCCTTTCGCTAAAGGCTGATAAATTATCTGACTACGCGGGTGAATCGCAAAGCACAGATGGAAAACCACTTGGCCGACGCTGAATGCGCCGCATAGTGACAGTGAAAACTGTAACAGCGACCGTTCAGATCCTTTAGTTGCTCAAGGCACTTTTAGGTAACTGCTGCAAACACATTTGAAGAGTACCCACTACGCTAAAATCAAAACTTTCATGAAGTAGGGAGGCACTCCCTACGTCATCCTTCGTTATTCTTCGATAAATCGCGGTACCACCTACTTACTTACAAAAATTTTGTGAAATTTTTTTAAGCTGTAGCTTACTACGATGATGAATTATGCCTGTAGCCTTTCTAATTGGTGGGAGTATTTGCACGAATCAATGGTAAACCCATTCTAATTGTGTTAGGTCTGGCTATTCTTTCGATATCCTAAAACACTTTATTACTCATATTACCGCGATTCCTCTCACGACACTAAGCCTTCCTAAGGCCAGTTTGCAAAGGACGTTTCAAGCAGCAGCGTGGCTCTGAGGTAGAACATTCGGGTGGCACGCTGTAGACCTTCGCTCGTGTGCCATTGTGCTCTTGGTGCCTTTTATTGCGTAGTTTTTTTTTCACTTCGTGCAATAGTGGTTACGTACACCGGCGATAGCGGCTGCTGTGGGCATTCACGGTGCACGCGACACTTCTTGTGATCTCATAGCAGCTGACGCTGTAAAATGCCAGGGGTAGTCAAGAATTAGCGAGAAATAAATACAGGATAGATTTGGGCCTAAATAAACATATAAAAATAGTCCAGCAACTTTTTACACGCAGCCACTGCTGATGCTCGAGGAAGCCTGCATGCGTCGGCAAGAAGCTACTGGGATAAAAAAAAAAAAAAACTCAGCATGCATCCCAAGAGGCACGTCGGTGTGTGACAGTGAGCATGGTAATACGCGCAACTCTACAATATAAATTGAAATCAAGGAACTTTGACTTGACAATCCATCTGAAATATAAACCAATGTTAAGAAGAAAAAACAAGCCTATAACACCTCCAAAGAGGCGTATTGTAATTTTGCGTAATCAATTTACGTAAAAATTGTGCGTTGTACGAAAAATGACCTATTGATCCAAAAAGATGATTTCACTAAGCAAACAGGATAGTACACAGTTCTGCGTCCTTTACAGCTTGGTTATTCTTGCATTTGTTGTTTTTGTCGTTTTTCTGTACACATGCTAATGAGACTAATGATAATATATGGTTATTATTTCGCATGTGTGAAGTCTTTTTGATAATTGCGGCACACTCTTTTCAGCCTCAATGGCAGCCAAGTCCTTACTCGGTAAGTGGTTTATTCTACTGCATGCTATATGTTTTGTCTGGTTCAGGTATGTTGTTTCATAATGCCCCAGGTGCCTAACGTCTGCTACTTAGTTGGGATCTACCTTAGTCCACGAAAAACCGTTGGCGCATCTCATCGCACGCTGCTCCGCAGTGTTTGCAAAACTTAGCAATTGCTTCAGACGATTATGTTCAGGTTGCCTGTAAAGCAACAATAACTGCGTTTACAATAGAGCTTACGCAAGTCGCAGCAATTACGTGAAGGATAAATTAGCCTATAGAAAAGTCGAAATATTTTAAGAAAAATGAAGTGCCGACCATTGTCTGAGCTTGGCGTTCTTATTATAAAGCAGTACTGCTTGTTGTTTGTCTTTTATTTTTGCTAAGGCTAAGTACAGCAAACTAGGAAGTTTCATCTTTACCAGCTTCGAATCACACTATTCATCGTCAAAGCCTCATGACAATAATAATACCCGGGTAAAAACGAGAACTGAGTACGAGACGACATAAAGGTAGTGAAAGTGACAATTTATTATGGTTATCTTCATATTTACGAATATGTATACCACACAATATGAAGAGATCAGAACAAAAAAAACTGTTCATACGAACGTTGATGGCTTTTGTGGTGAAAGAACATAAGTAACTACAAGGGATGATCTAAATTTAACTGACATATCTCTTAAGGTAACACACTTAGCTTATTGCAGCAGGTAAGTCATAGCGGTAAAAATATGGGCGGAAATCCGCTTGACAACTGTCCGAAAGAGTACGCCGTATAAAATGAATGTAAACAAAACAGTATCTTTTGTGTTAGGAGTTCAAAGAAGCAAAAATCACACATTGGAATTCAACTAACGGAATACGTAAATTGATGTTCGCACGTTGGATCCCCACGACGGGAACTGGATTAACACTTATTCACACCAGGGCTCCAGGCTATCTTGCGCTTTCATCTGCCTAAAATCATGTCGTCGAACGGCTTCACTCATGCATATTCACGTATACATCAAAGTCATATGCATTATGAAATAGCCAAAGGGTGCAAGAAGGGTCAGTTTAAGAGGATTAGATAGGCTGCAGTGCAATATATTACAGCTAATTATGACGCCTCGCATGCGAAACCATGTGAAGTATAGCTATGCATAATGTACCATTTAAAGAGAGAGTAAAGGGAAGTAAGTTTGACAAGCAGGCACAGTAGAAAAAGAGTATAGACCTATTGCTTAGCCTAGGTAACTACCGCATACTATGTAGAAAGAGAAGCGCAAATTTAAAGGCCTTCTGTTTATTTGTTACAATTATATTGAGACCTTGTTAACAGACAGCCATGGCAAAGAAATTACAGGGAATAATATTACAAATTATTTTCACGTAAATGCTGGTTCAGTACAGTTGTCGATTAAATTCATCGCCTGCGGAATCTCCCTTCATATCGTCACCTTTCGATGTCGTATGAGACCGTGAAACGGTCTCATATGACACTGTATCACGATGTTCAGTGTATGGTGCGAAGGTATGGTGATGGACTGATCACCGAGTCCTGTTAAGTTGTCTGATATTGTAGATGATATTCTGATTCGAGGAGCAGGTTAGCACTGGTAGTTCTGTTGGCTCTGTAGCCCGTGCCTGGTGTTTCTATGATATACTTTGATAAAAGGCATGAGTGATATAGCTCTAGCTTTCTTTTCTTTACTCTGGCACCAAGTAATGTAACAATTTGGAAATTTATCTATCTTAGTGGACAGTAGTTCAAAGGTTGTGTCAGTATACCACCTCTTCGAGGGGCGATCAGTTCAGAAGGGGTTAGGTGACCTCAGGAAACATGCTATTAAATCGGCAGTCATGCCAGCCGCCCTCCACGGACCCTAACAATAGGGTGCCACGGGACGCGGTGAAATCGTGGGCGCCAGCTGACTCGCACACTATGACCTAATACATCTATCCAAAGTTAAGGCTATACACTATGTTAACCCTTGCAACCCAGAAAAACATGGAAGGAAAACGAATTGATTAGATGACAAGAAAGAGCGAAAGAGCCAAAAACAAAAGTGAAGGGAGGTATGGAGACAGGAAAAGGCGACGGCTCATTTGACCTAGGTGGTTCATCCAGGAGCTGCCCTCAACATAGAGCAGAGACCAAAGGGGTGTATTTTCTCTGCCGGTGCATGTCAAATCACTCGGAAGTGGCATCACCTACAGGATCCCGGTTTTTGCGTACACGGCTCTGCTACGCACAGCTAAGCGTTGGAGAGTTACGAAACCCCCTTTCCCCGGTCAGATCAGGTCCACTGGTGTCACTACGAGTTCTATGCATTTTGAGAGCCCGGCTCTTAAAGCTCGAGGCAAAATGCTGGTCTCCTAGAGAAATCCTTCCTACTGTTTTTCAACACGTGCCGTGGCTTTTAAGTCGCGCCAACCCACGCAGACCATCTGCGTAGCCACTGCGTGAGCCGAATGTGGGCGACGTAACGCGCGCGCTTGTACCGTGGATGTTTTATCCAGCTTGGAGCTTCATTTCTAGCACAGAAGTTTCGAGCTTCTTTTATCGTTTGTGACAGGCTTCGCTTGTACTCCACTGTGTCGATGCGAAGGAGATATTTTAGATAACTCACGAAGGTCACAAAACCCACCTAAGATAAAACGATTTTGCTGTTTTTTTAACTTTACACTACATGTGTACGAAGAAAAAAAGGGACATTGTGCGAAACAAAAAAGAACAATACAAGATACTGTACTCCGAACAAATATATACAGGTGCGGAAACTCTAAATACAAGGTGGTATTCGTTATATATTCCAGCCTAATAATTTTATTTTCACCTCAAGTACTACATTACAGCTTAAAGAACGGTCACTACAATATATATGAATTCTTGGCCTAGGTCACTGTGAAATGAAATTGGTTCTTCCAGTGCGCTGCAGTTTTTGTACACTTTACAGTTACTAGGTATTGTTCGAAACAAATGTCTATCGACACACACTGCCTTGAAATCATATGCTTGCGTATATTCTTCGGTCCTGATTATCGTGCCGTGGTCTTTGCAGCCGCTGCTCCGTGACACATTGCGGATTTTGGCGCCTCGTCCAGGTGAGGTAAGTGCTCTGTTCTAATGATCTGTGGGTGCTATCTGATGTTCAAAGAATTGACTTTATACAACGCCTTCGCAGCGTTTTTCACCTAATGAAGTAGCAGGCGCCTTGAACATACAGAGTCACGCGGCCCGTGAACCTCTCGTTTACAGCCCGTGTTTTGCGCATGTTCGTTGTATACTTTTTTGTATTATCTCGATAAGTATGTTCGTGAGCTACACATGCATGACAGATCTAAAGCATTTTTTTCGTGAGGCACACTCTTGGGTCATTACGTGTTGATATATTATCTTGGAAAAAGGCTGTCTTTGAGAATCAACCTGCAGGTTGCAGTTATATTGAAGATCAGTATCAACGTGTTATTCGAAGTCCTGGTTCAAGACCTTCTTCAGAAACCACACGCACTAGAGATGTGGCAAAGGTTTTCTTTTAAATGGCAACGTGTGCAGAAATTGTAAAACTACCCTTCCCATCACTTTAGGCCTTTACAGGACTAAATTGTGTCATTGGAGCCTGCAAACTGAATTAACCTTGAAACCCCTGAAGTACAGAGAAAGATATGAAAAGCTGGTGCACAGAGAGTGCACCAATGCATCGCAAATAAAACTCCATTTTTCTCCTTTGATGTCAACAGCCTGCACGCATCGAATGCAAGCGTGCACTTGCTGTACGGCCAACAGATAGCGCATAACAGATTGGCAGTTCGTACATCTTTCAGTTTGATTGAAACAGCATACTTGTTAAGACAACGGTGTGGCTATAAGAATTCTTATATCCCTGCCTGTTGCTAAGGGGTTCCAATGAATGCCGTGGTATGGTCAAATTTTCGAAGAGCCAAGTTCTCGTTCTCACAAATTTCAGGCTGTAGCCGCAAATTCTTAACGTAAGACTCGATATATTTCTGAGGATTGTTTCAAACACAGAACTAGTTATCAGTGTGATCACGACATAGTAGTGAAAGCTTCAGAGGTGGTTAGGTGGTTTTGGTGCTGGAATGCTGAACTCATGGAGGCGGGCTTGACTTCCGGCAGTAAAGGCAGTTCAGTGGCAGCAAAATGGTAGTGTTTGTTATGAACTTTTTAGACGCAAGTCGAGCTCGCACAAGGAAAACATTTCCGGGGACCTTGTCCACAGCACCCAAAATTATCCTACGGCTGTTTTTAGGATGTCAAGCTCCAACACCTATGGTAATAGGCATTTAAAGTTGGAAGGTGATGGGTCAAGAAACGCCAATGTCAATATGCTGAATTAGATATTAGAATGTGCAACCAGAACGAGTACAAAGAAAAACACATTTCAGTTGACCCTACGACTTGCCTTTACATATTTGAATAGTTCAGTACTATTCGGTAATGCCAAATGAACTTATGGCTTAATGAGTCGCAATATTAAGCGAAACCCAACGACAATACCAATACATGGCGCTTTTGGCGCACAATATTTGTGATGCTGGTTCTTAGATCCACATCGCTTCAGTTTTGCAACATTAGGATTGCATAATGGGCAAACATTTAAAAGTGAATTACACATGAACTGCAAGTGTGATCAGTTTAGGTAATCAAGACGACACAGAAGAGAGAATCTCAAACTTCAGAACACCATGGTTTTCGTGTTTCACTTTTGTGTTTTTTGTGTTCGGAACAATCGAACGTGCAATATTGTTGTAGAAACTTGTCACGCCTCAAAAACACGTCACATCCTAATTGACGAGTTCTTGTGAATTCTGGTTTCTTCGGTAATGGTAACCATGTGCAAAATTCAACATCAATGCATGCTAACCAGCTGCATTAGTCGCATTTGTTGTGGATACAATGTGTTTGACCTCATGCTTTTTTGCAAAATAAAATGTGAGCAGATGCTATTGTACTTTCGAAATAATATGTAAATAAATCTAGGCCTCATGTAAAACAGGGGACTTACTGTTTTATAAGTGCAACGACATAGTAGAAATCGCTGCTGACATAAAAAAAGCTCCAATGGGCACTCTCATCGCATATTTTAAAGACTCTCTCACAAAAACTTTGGCTGTTAACATTCATTATTAAACTGAAAGCAATCAATATGAATTTCACCCGAAGTTCACTATATTTGTGCTAGGGGCAATGATTTCAGATTCCACTGTTCCTATTCTTGTATTCTAAGCAGCAATACAAAGTAGCCACCAAACATGGACAATGAATACACATAGTGATCCACGGAAGGCCAATGAGTTTCGCTCCATGAGTTCCAGAAAAATACGACAATTGGAGAATTTCAACACCAAGGTCCAGTGCTCAATTCATATGCCAACTAAATATTTCTGTCACTTTGCAACACTTTCGAAATAAAGTGTTCCAACGGAATTAAGCAATAAACATAATAAAAAGTAAATAATTTTCTTAATCTAGGTATATCAGCGGAAAACTACGTTCGAGCAGCCCATACAACGCGTCTATCATGCAGCATTATGAAACAGACTAATCACAGGTGGTTAATAAAAGAAGTACAGCTATTCTCAACCCATAGTTTTATGCACTCACGTCCAGGGTTCCTTATTGATTTTGATTGTCTCCATGTTTCAGCCTGGGTCAGAAGGCAATCCCGGAACTATCGAGCCTGGTCCAACTCAGGCAAGTGGTGTTCTTTATAAATCACAGCTACGAACATCTGCGTGATACTTGCGGCGTTGTCTTTCTTGTGGCAAAAGGCATCTTCCGATGAGTACAAACATAATTATGGCAGTATTTATATAAAACAACACAATTACATTTTTTCCATTTCTGATAGCCAGTCGAGTCATTAGAGTGAATTTATGCCCTTCCTTCGAATAGTCTATAGCCACTTTAAATATGAAACGTGACCACTGGTAATCAAAGCGGAGCGCAGATTTAGCCTTCGCTGTTATCAACCGTTCATTTAGACACTCCACTTCGAGGCCGCTTGTCGTCGCTCGTTAATTCTTCTCTCCCAAAGCGAGGGAAACAGCGTCGTCGTTGAGGGTGTTCTCAAAGCGAACAGTAGATGCGCTGTTTGGTGTGTTGCTTTGGGTCTCACCAGCTAAATTGGCCAGATTCGCCGCAAGCTTAATTTGCCACAAGAAATTGGCATGCTGGTGCTACGATGCAGATTCGTTCAATGCGAAGCATTTTTTTGGATCGTCAGTGACTTTGAGCGTATCTATCTATCTATCTATCTATCTATCTATCTATCTATCTATCTATCTATCTATCTATCTATCTATCTATCTATCTATCTATCTATCTATCTATCTATCTATCCACCTATGACTTCTAGCTGTCCTGGCAGTTCCAATAATGATATTGATACCTAGATGTGTACGGCATAACATGACATTAGGCTGAGCATAGGTGACTAGTCATAACAAGAAAATGAACACATACATGTCATGAATGTCATGATTTACACTTTATGGACTTGCTGCTGTTTCGGTTGTGTTCTTCACATGTCATGTTGCGAAACAGGTATGGTGTAACATGACTGCATGGCGAACACAAGTGACAGACCCTAACATAAAAATTTTTACATGCGTGTCATGTAAAAACATTGCTACATGCGAAACAATGGTGAGCTCGGGGCTGTTTCGCTACCTTCACAAATACCAAATATCGTATTACGGGACGTGAATAAAACATGAAGGTACGTAACCGGTTCAAACATGATATTCATGGGATGTGTGTCCTGTAAAAATATGACTACATGCCACGCTCATGACGCGTTCGAGGCTGTTTCGTTAGCTTCATGCATAACAAGCTCGTCGTTACGTGACGCAAATGAATGACGAAGGTAAATGACATATCAAAGCATGCAAATTATGAAATTCGTGTCATGAAGAAGCATGACTACATGCCACACTAATGGAGCTTTTCATATTTTGAAGTATACAAAACATGGCATTATGTCACATGAATGGAATAATAAGTTATGTGACTGCAGTAAATATGATAATCGTGAGATGCTTGCCATGTAACAACCTGACTAAATGCCACGCTCATAATGCACTCGTGGTCGTTTTGCTTGCTTCACATATGCAAAATGTGGTATTACGTCACGTCAATAGATGACAAAGATATGTGACTGGTTTAAACTTGATAATCATGAGATGCATGTCATGTAACAGCATGACTGCATGTCATGCTCATAATGCGCTCGCGACCATTTTGCCAGTTCACATATACCAAGTTTTGTATTACGTCACGCGAATGGACCAAGAAGGTAAAGGACACGTCGAAATATGATAGTCATGAACTGTGTGTCATGTAATAACATGGCCACGTTCCACACCCACGAAGCGTTCGCGGCCATTTCGTTAACTTCAAGTACACCGAATTTGGTATTATGTCACATGAATGGATGACGAGGTAATGTGACTGGTGCAAATATGACAATCACGAAATGCGTGTCTTGTAAAACATGACTACATATCATGCTCATGATGCGCTCATGGCCAGTTCCGCTAGCTCCACATATACAAAAGTTTTGTGTTACGTGGCGCGAATGGACGACAAAAGCTTATGACTCGTTCAAACATGCTAATCATGATATCCATGTCTTGTAAGAGCATGATTGATTGATATGTGGGGTTTAACGTCCCAAAACCACCATATGATTATGAGAGACGCTGTAGTGGAGGGCTCCGGAAATTTCGACCACCTGGGGTTCTTTAACGTGTGCACCCAAATCTGAGCACACGGTTGTAAGAGCATGGCTACGTTCATGATGTGCTCGTGGGCGTTTCACTTCACATGTACAAAATTTGCTATTGCATGACTTGAATGGACCACAAACAAAAATGCCAAGAGTAAACATAATACTAATGTGATGGAAGTCATGTATGGCATAATTACATGCAGACCACTGCTGAAGCTTGTAATGCAAATGTCAGCAGTGCCGTCGTTACACGACTATAACAACATACTTGCATCTTATCTAGATACCCTGGGTGCGCAAAACATTTCTACTTGTGTTTACTCTGTACTACTTTCATGCGCCTCGTCAGGTTGTGCTGATTTTAATAAAGTGTCATAAAACCTCCCTTACTCTTGCTTCGCATATCATCGATTCCCATCATGCATAGGATCTGCCATTTTTTTTATTGCCTCCTACTTGCAAAGCTTAAGACACCGACGTCTTTTTGCCACGGGTCACGTCAAATCTCGTGAGTTATTGAATATGGCAGCGCCAGAAATTAAAGTGCCACCAGTGAGGACGTCAAATCTTACTTAGATCCGAAACTCCACTTACCGCTTTACCACTGTCTTGACTTTCATAAAGAACCAGTGGAGTCAATCCCTCCCTTTGTGTCATAACGACGAAGACAGTGTCCCGTATTTTTCATATTTTCTCTGTTTCTTCAGCCCTTCACTTTAAGTCCTCTGCCGGAATATATGGAAAACACTCTTCAAGACACTGTCAAATGAAGGCAACTACATTGTTGTCAAAAAGACAGCATGAAAATATAACAATCCCTAGAATACGTCTACCGTTTATGTCCGACAGAGCACATGACATTCACTGAAATTACGTGATAATGAGAAATCATGAAAGAAAGAAACATCGTCTATGGCTATCGACATGTTCAGTTTTTTTTTCGATGTTGCCAATGCTGTCAACAACTAAGAGCGTTTAGACGGCTAACGCGTGAGCGCAGCAGCCATTAACACCTGCGCTTACGATAATGGATGAATAAGTATTGAAAGAGTTTCACTCTTCTATACTGGCTACGCTGATTCACAGATTCCACAGGGCTGCAACCAGCTTACAAATTACACTACACAAAGTGGTGTCGCCATAACTTGAGATGACATCTTGCACAGGGGAGCACACAGGTGGAAAGCAAGAAGTTGAATTACGTGACTGAACAACTTTCTATCTAGTACTGGCATGTTTGTCTTCAAGTTATTTTGAAAGCTTTTGCCTAGCAGTGCTATTACGACATATTATCAGCAAGCGTGAATAGGCAGTGTTGAGCTTGGCAACAAGAGCACCTAAGTAACTTGCAATATTGTATTGAGGCTATTTGTTTCGAATCCTCATCTGCTGCGAAGATCTGATGATTGACCAGCCTACAATTTGCCCTCTCGTTTTCCAGCTAACATGTTCGAAGCCCTAGAGTAGTGCGCTTTAAAAAACTAATTAAAAATGTGAACTTTTGACTAGAACACATGTGTCTGATGGCTAGCTCTTGGACGAGATTGTCGCTCCAGAACAAGATTGTAGGTCATCACCACTTAAATGACAATACAGTTCTAGAGGCTGATCCAGTACCTTTGATTGAATTAGGATTGCCGAATATAACTATGTCGGAGCGTTTTGACTCTCTATTGCTTTCGTGGTTTCTTAGACTTTAGGTGCAGCCTAGGGCACCACGACGAATACATACTCTTCCTATAGGGGGCTTTCGAGTATGTTATGCCTTCAAATAATAAACTCCATTAACTCTTCCTAAAGCCTAGAGAGTTTCGTTTCAGGAGCTTCTTCGGCAAGCTCATGCTCGTGCCTTGCGCAGTGACGGTGGCTGTTTTACAGTCGCTAGAATAGTAAAGTGTGACAAACGTGCCTGCTAGTGCGTAGCGCCTTGAAAGAAAACCGTTGGAAGAACAAGTATCTGAACCTACAGAAATATCTAGCGGGCTTCGACAGGGATGTTTCTTGCCACCTTTGTTGTTTCGGTTGTATCTACAGGGGCTAGAAGCCAAATTATGGGGGAGTTGACTCGGCTTCAGCCTCTCTTTTGCCAAGCAAAGGAAACACAATGAACAGTCATTACCAGCATTTATGTATGCAGATGATATTGTATTAATAGCCGAGAAAGAAGAAGATCTGCAGGGATTGATAGACATCTGTGGTAATGAGGAAGATAGGTTAAATTTGAAGTTCAGCTGGGAAAAATCGGAAATCAAGATCTTTATTGACGATAAAGGCAGTGAGCATAGGATACATGAAGTCACGCTAGAAATAGTGGATATATACAAATATTTGTACGTTGGAATAAATGACGGTGCTGAGTATTTAAGGGAGCATCAAAGACGTAATGACTAAGGGCACAAGGAACGCAGCTGTGATGAAAACTAGGGCACTGTGGAACTACAATAGGTATGACATTGTGAGACGGATTTGTACAGGTTTCATGGTCCAGGGTTTGACGTTCAGCAATGCGGTCTTGTGCAAGAGATGAGAACTTCAAGCAAGATTGAAAATTAAACAACGTTGCATAGGTAGACTTCCTTTGAAAGTGCACGGAAATACCCTAAGTCAGGAGGTACAGGGTGACATGCGATGGACATTGTTGTTTGCAGGAGAGCTTGCAGCCGGGTAGAATTTGAGGAGGGATTGAGAAAAATGGGAGAAGAGCATGGGGCTACGAACTTTTTCAGCTACTTGTACATGAAGAATGTTGATACTAAATGGAGGAAGTGAACTCAAGAACGTGTCAAGCAAGTATTTAGACAACAGCAGGAATACCAAGCCAAAAGGATGCATCGGTTGAGAAGAAGGCGAATGAAACAGAGAGGGACATGTGAAAGATAGGAATGCTTACGAAATAATCACTGGAGACCTACTAAACCTTGAATCGGGAAATTTCAAGGGAAATATCTACGATAAT